GCCCATGGCCACAGTGCGTGTGGCTGCATTTCCGCGCTCGCATATTGTGTTTATTTCCCGCGCAGAAAGGCCCGCGGCCGCCGCGCGCCGAATGCACAGCTCGCGCCCGCGCGCGCGCGTAGTACGCTGAGCCACTTGGCCGACGTGCTACAACCCCATGTTAACTTGGAAATCCATTCGGCCACCGCTGAGGGGCCGCTTGAGTTTCCAGGCAAACATAGCGGCCCTTGTATTGTGGGCGCGACAGAATTCACAGCTCGCGCCCGCGCGCGCGTGGGCGCGTTGCGCGCTCAGCCACATGGTCGACATGCTCCAACCACATGTTAACTTGGAGATGCAGTCGGTCACCTCTCAGGGCCACCTTCGTTCACAGGCCAACACGGCGGCCCTTCTTTTGTGGGTAACCCAAGATTCACGACTCGCGCTCGCGCGGTCGCGGGCGCGCGCGCGCGGTGGCGCTTTGTAAATCGAGCCACGTAACCGACACGCTACAAACTCATGCTAACTTCGAAATCCAATCGGTCACCGCTAAGGGGCCATTTGAGTTTCCAGGCCACAACATGGCGGCCCTTTTTAATGTGGGTAGTCCAGAAGTCACATCTCGCGCGCGCGGGCGCGTTGTACGCTAAGCCACGTGACCGACATGCTACAAGCCCATGTTAACTCGGAATACAATCAGCCACCATTAATTGGCCAATTAGATTTTCCATGCCAACATGGTGGCCGTTGTACGGTGGAAAATACAGAGTTCACAGCTAGCGCGCGCGTGGGCGACGTGTGCGTTGAGCCACCTGGCCGATACGCGACAACCCCCATGTTAACTCGGAAGTTCAACCGGTTACTGCGGAGGGGCCACTTGAGCTTCCATGCCAACATAAAAGGGCCCGATATTGCGGGTAGTACGGATTTTAGAGCTCGCACGAGCCGGGGGTGGGGGCGCGCGCGCGCGGGCGCGTTGTACGTTCAGCCACATGCTACAAGCCCATGTGAACTCGGAATTCCAATCGGTCACCGCTCAGGGGCCGCATGAGTTTCCAGGAGACAGCGGCCCTTCTATTGTGGGTAGTGCAGGATGCACAGCCCGCGCGCGCGTGCGCGCGTCGTGCGCTGAGCCACTTGGCCGACATGCAACAACCCCATGTTAACTTGGAAATCCATTCGGCCACCGCCACGGGGCCGCGTGAATTGCCAGGCCAGCACGGCGGTCCTCTGTCGTGGATGATACAGAGTTCACAGCTCGCGCCCGCGCGCGCGGGCGCGTTGTACGCTGAGCTACTTGGCCAACATGGCACAACCACATGCTAACTAGGATATTCAACCTTCTACCGCAGCGGGCAACTTTTAGTTTCCAAGCAAACATAGCGGCCCTTCTGGTGTGGATAGTTCGTAAGTCACTGCTCGCGCGCGCGCGTGGGCGTCCTTTACGCTGAGCCACTTGTGCGACATGCTACGAACCCATGTTAAATTGAAAATCCAGTCGGCCATCGCTAGAGAGCCACTTGCGTTTCCAAGCCAATACGGCGGCCCTTCTGTTGCGAGCGATACAGAGGTCACAACTCGCGCCCGCGCGTGCGGCCGACATGCGGCAACCCTAGGTAAACTGGGAAAACCAATCGGCCACCCCTAAGGGGCCACTATGGCTTCCAGGCCAACATGACGGCCACTCTATTGCGCGCAATAAAGAATCTACAGCTTAATCGGCACGCTGCTAACTCATGGTTACTCGGAAGTCGAAGCAGCCAACGATGGGTTGCACTTCAGTTTCCAGGCAATCGTGGCGGCCCTTCTATTATGGGTAACCAAGTGGTCCAGAAGTCGCAACTCGCGCGCGCGGGTGGGTGCGTTGAGCGCTGAACCACTTGGCCAACATGCCACAAACCAGTGCTAACCTGGAAACCAATCCGGGTTTCCAAGCCAACACGGCGGCCCTTCCACTGTGGGCCAGGGTTCGCAGCTCGCGCCCGCGCGCGCGCGGGCGCGTTGCGCGCTGAGCCACATGGCTGACATGCTCGAAGCCTCCGCAAAGGGGCCACTTGAATGTGCGGGCCAACATGGCGGCCCTTTTACTGCGATAAGTATGAAACATCTCAACTCGCGCGCGCGCGGGCGCGCGCGCGAGGCGCCTTGTACGCTGGGCAACTTGGCCGACACGCTACAAACCCATGTTAAACATGGAAAATACCATCGGCCACCGCTAAGGGGCCACTTGAGTTCTCAGGCCAACGTGGCGGGATTTGCACTGCGGAGAATACAATGTTCACAGCTCGCGCCTGCGCGCGCAGGCGCGGGCGCTCTGTGCGCTGCACAACATAACCGGCATGCTACGACCTTTTGCTAACTTGGAAGTCCGTCGGTCACTGCTAAGGGGCCACTTAAGTGTCTAAGCAAACGTGGCGGCCATTCTATCGTTGGCGATGCAGAATTAATTCACAGCTCGCGCGCGCGAGCGCAAACGGGCGCGCGCGCGTGGGCCCGTTGCACGCTGAACCATTTAACCAAAACGCTACAAACTCGAGCTATCTCGGATATTCAATCGGTCACCGCTAATGGGCCGCTTGATTTCCCAGGCCAGCATGGCGGCCCTGCTATTGCGGGTAGAACTCACAGCTCGCGCGCGCGCGCGTGGGCGCGCTGTGCGCTGAGACACTTGGCCGACATGCTAGAACCCCATGTTCAACTGGAAAAAGAAATCGGCCACCACTAAGGGGCTGCTTGAACTCCCAAAGCCACCATGGCGGCCCTTCTGCTCTGGATAACGCAGAGTGGCGGCTCGCTCCCGCGCGCGCGGGCGACTTGTGCGCTGAGCCACTTGGCCGACAAGGTACATCCCCATGTCAACTTGACAATCCAGTCGGTCACCGCTGGGGGGCCACTTTAGTTTCCAGGACAGCACGACTGCCCTTCTTTTGTGGATAACGCAGAATTCACAGCTCGCGCCCGCGCGCACGCGCGTGGGCGCGTTGCGCGCTGAGCCACTTCGCCGACGCGCTACAAACCCATGGTGCATCGGAAATCCAATCGGTCTCCGCTAGGGGACTACTTGAGCTCCCATGCCAACATTGCGGCCCTCCTGTTATAAATGATACAGAATTCACAGCTCGCGCCGGCGCGCGCGCGCGGGCGCGTTGCGCGCTGAGCCACTTGGCCGGCGCGCTGCAGCCCCGCGCTACCTGGAACGCCCATTCGGTCACCGCCAAACAACCCCTTCGTTTCCAGGCCCCTTCGTTGCCAGACCGCTGAGAACAATGCAGAATTCACACCTCGCGCGCACGCGCGTGGGCGCGTTGTACGCTCGTCCTCCTCCTCCTCCTCCTCCTCCTCCGCCTCCTCCTCCTCCTCCTCGCCCAATCCTCCTCCTCCTCCTCCCCCTCCTCCTCCTCCTCCTCCTCCTTTCCTCCTTCTCCTCCTCCTCATCCCCCTCCTCCTTCTCCTCCTCCTCCTCCTCTTCTTCCTCCTCCTTCCCCCCAGAAAGCTTGCGCAGTCAATGTCATCATACTTCTGCTCGCCCCCCTCCTGCTACTCCCGTCGCTCCTCCCTTCTTCCTTTTAGTCCTCGTCCTCCTCGTGTTCCTCCCCCACCTCCTCCTCCCCCGCCCCCTCATCATTCTTCTGCGCCCTGCCTGTTTCGGCAAGGGCCGCGAATGTGCATTCACTCCAGGGCGTGCCCAGGCTGACCCACGAAATTCAGTTTGACGGCTTCCCCATCAATTTCTCTTCGTTACACGGAATGTTCCCGCACTTCCCTGATCAAGACATTTCGCCTGGGTACTAGTGCTGGGTGGACCGTGATGGATACGAACATTAACGAAACCAACTACGCGATCAACCGCGAGTGAAACTACACACGCAACTCCCCACAAACATGTTTCGCACGTGGCGTTCATCGTGCAACAACACTTCCAGAAGGGCGAGAGAAGCGAAGCCTTCCCACAATAAAATCACGATTTCTGAATTCAAGCACACGCAGCCCTTCAGGGCAAAAACAACAACCAATCATAATTCTGGATTTTCCAAACCATGCCTTCGGACAAAAACGGAATCTTGAATATTACATTTTAGTTGTGCCCCCCGGCCTGGCTGTTAGCGTTTTGGGGTGGCCCCCCCTTCCTGTAGACGGCCCCCTCACTAAATGATGATGATGATGATGATGATGATGATGATGATGACGGTGATCGTGTTCAAGCTCACAAAAGCCGGGAACAGGGCTCACCTACCGTGCAGGTTCTAACATCCGCGCGAGGCCAAGACGGGGCCCGAGGCCCCCACGGGGCCCACGGCGGGCGGCGCCCACGGGGCCCTCGCGGGTCCCCGCCGGCGCCGCCCGGCACGCCCGGCCGAGCCCGGCCGACGAGGCAGGGCGGCCCAGGAAGGGGCCGCCCGACGCGGAACGGCCCGGGGCCCCAAGGCCGCACGCGGCCACCGACCACGGAGGCGGCGCGCCAGGCCCGGGAGGCGGCGACGAGAAGGGCGAATACAGTCGGGGCGTTGACCTAAGGAACCCTAAGTAAGGAACGAGGCCCGTTTTCCCCAAAGGTTAAACTCCGATTTCCCATGGAAAACCTCAGGAAAACCCAAGGCAAACTGTGAAGCAATCAAGGAACACAGAGCCCCTCCCCAACGAAAAGGGTTCCTTCTGTAGCCGACTGTAGCCCAGGGGCGGGCATCACACGTCTTCGCCCGGGAGCCTCGTCGCAGGCATAGATCATCGGCGCCCCTGGGTACATGCGTTGCTCCCCCCTGAGCTATTCGCCCCTAGCGTCGCCTCCGAAGGGGGGCGGGCCGCGCCGCAGGAAGCACCGCGTCCGGCGTGGCGAGGGCCCCGGGGCACGGGAGAGAGAGAGAGAGAGAGAGAGACCACAAGAGAGAGAGAGAGAGAGAGCGGGACAGAAAGGAATGAACAGCAACATCGGAAAGAAAGGATGCGCGCGAGGCGCTCCTGGGCTCGCGCTCGAGGCGGACTGCCAGCAGCGTGGTCTGCGGCGGGCTGCTTCGGCTGCTGACCTCGCCGCCCGCCTCAGCGCCTCGGTGACCTGCTCCTCCGCCTCCCCGCGTCGGTCAGGCTGAGCGGCTCGGCGCCGGCTCCCCTCGGCGCCGTGCCTCGGCCTACTCGCGCGATGACGACGACGACGACGAGGACGAGGACGAGGAGGAGGAGGAGGAGGAGGAGGAAGACGATGCGTTGCGATGCGACGCGACCATCGTTGCGGGCAGCGTCAGGGCCTAGTTCAGACCAGGTGGGTGAGGCCGTAGCCTTGAGATTCTGGCTTGTCTGAATGCACGCCATGCGAGTCACATAATAATTTAAGAGGAGGAGGCGGACGCAATGCAATACGAATGCGAGACGCAGTGCACGACGAGGCGGAGAAGGAGGAGGCGGAGGACGACGACGACGAGCAAAAGGACGAGGTGGAGGATCCTCCTTGACTCGACTCCTCCTTGACTTGCTTTCTCCTCGACTCCTCCTCCTCTGGTCCCCTCCCTCCCTGCCCCCTCCGTGGCGCACTGCCCGTGGCCGTGCTCGTCCATGAACCCCTTATCGAAGTCCATGTGTGCGGGAACGAAGAATGACGTAAACACAACCACC